CCATGGAACAAGTAAAGCTGAGTGCCTTTGGGAAGGAGGCTTGTTTGTGGAGTGGGTATCTCCAGTCACCTAATCAGGAATGGAGGTTTGCTGATCACAGAGCTACAGTGTAAATGCCTTTAGGCTGAAGCTGATGGGAAAGTTTGGACATTGATTGGCAGTGCTAAAAAGCTATGTAATATTGCCCAAACAGGGCAGTGGCCAAGGGGTTGCTCAGCTAAAGGGCTAAGGACTTCCTGGAGTATAAACTTCCCTATTCAAGCCTATAATTGTCAATATTGTCTGTGTGTTCTATGTAGTCATTGCAATGAATTATCTAAGCCAGCTGAGGAGTAGAGCACTGTGGGAGGAGCAGTTGGTGTCACAATTGGTAAGCAAGGTTGGAGGGTAGAGGCATGTCTGACATCAGCCTGGCAGCAATTGGTCTTTGGATGATGTGTATTTGACTCCTCTTCCCACTTGTGAAGTTGGAGAAAGCCAGACGTGGCCCCCACATCATTTTAATACCCTGGTACTATGTGACATTTCATCAAAACTTCCTAAGTCACTGAAATTACTTTTGGTCAGGTGTTAGAAAAGAATATCAGATGGAAATCATGCTTAATAATCTAAACTCTGGAGTTTAGTTTAACTCCAATCCTGCCAAGACCCCGTTCTGCTTTCACATACTCTGTGCTACCTTGGATAAACTGTGTAATTATTCTATAACTCAGTTTCTTCAAAGGTAATTTTAAGGTGTCTACACCACAGAGTTGCTATGATAATTAAATGAAGAAGTATATGTAAAATGCTTAGAAGAATTTTTGGCACATTATTAATTTTAACTATTATTTTTCCAGAATTTACACTTTTACTTATACTTTACACATTGTCAGCTAAATCTTCCTGAGGTCAATAGAAGCCATTCTACTTTATAACAATGCTGTAAGAAGAGTAAGTATAGAAGTTGTTGTTATTAAGTGCCATTGAGTCAGTACCAACTTATAGCGATTCTGTGTAAGATTTCTGAGGAGCAGTTGGTGGATTTGAACTGCCGACTTTGTGGTTCACAGTCAAGTGATGGTCCGACAGTACCACACAAGGAGGAGAGAATAGTAAATAAGCCATAGTTTAGTTTATAATCCTGACCATTTTATTCTTTTGTGCCTAAGAACACTATAACTTAAAGCCTGCTTTACAGCACCTAACAACATCAGTTTCTAGTCCCAGTACTGCCAATGCCTGTAACCTTTGGCAAACCATTTCACATTTATGAGCTTTAGCTCTCTAATTTAGTAAAATGGGAAAAAAAAAAAAAAACACAAAAAAAAACCCACAGTAGAAAACATCCTATGATGCATACGATTGCAGTGACACCAATGCAAAATAATAAAACACAAAAGGCCTTTGAAGGTTATACAGATGTGATGCTTCATCATATTAATCCCTGTCACTTGGGAAAAGAAATTGGGAAAAGGTAGTAATAAGTGTTGGGGTTCTGTTGTGAAGAGAAAGGTAAAAATAAAAATTAAATCATGTTATTGTTATTATGCTTAACTCCACAAAAGACAATTTTCAAATAAAAAGGAAGTATACTGGTATGTGCTGGAGGATAAGCGCTAGATTGTTAACCAAAAGGTTGGCAGTTCAAACCCACCAACCACTCCTTGGAAATACTATACAGGGTCTCCATGAGTTGGACCCAACGCTGAGGCACCTTACAACAACAACAACATTCATTGAAATGTAACATGTTTAAATCAGTTAAGGATCACAGGGAACTATGAAGTCATTATTTTTGGGAAGAGGAATTAAAAAAGAAGAATTAATAAATGTGGTCTATGATAATGTATCAAATAAAAAATTGGACACTTAGGCAAAACAGCATTATAAGCTGAGTGATTTAAACCTAAATAATCTTTAAAGGTAAAAGTTCTCACATTTTATAAATAAATATCAAATAATAAATTAGTCAAGACCAATTGAAGAAATATTAATCACATTAAGAAGTTAACATGTGGATAAAAAAATGTGAAACTGAGCACACAAATTCTAGGAACAGCATATTTTTGTTGTTGTTGTTAACTGACACTGACTCTCTATTAAAAGAATTATATACTGATGGATGTCCAAAGGCACCCTGGTAGCACAGTGGCTAAAGTACTTGGCTGCTAGCCATAAGGTCAGTGGTCTGACTCCACCAGATGTGTCAGTCTCCTTCTATAAAGACTTACAGCCTTGGAAACCCAGTGGGCAGTTTTAATCTGTCCTATAGGGTTGCTATGAGTTGGAATTGACTTGACAGCAAGTGGATTGGTTTTTGGTATAGATATTCAGTAAAAATTAACCAAGAAAATAACTCTGGGTAGAGTTTATAATCTAAAAGCGTTCCTACAGATGATCCTAATTTAGGACTCCAACCCTGCTTTAGCAAAGAGGTTCTGTTTGTGGGACAAAAAGAAAGAATCACCGGTGGAGCACAGACCTTGCCATAGCTCATTGAGTGATATTACAAAGTCTAGTACTTGAGACAGGGAGCATGCCAAGTCTCCTTATGCATGGTAAACCATGAATACAAAATGCTACTTCCATGAAAAAGGAAAAGAAAACTCAGAAAAAAAAATTTGTGGTAAATCCCTGGAAAGCTATATTAGACAGGTGTGAGTTGGAGGAATGGGGCAAATTGGGATGAAGATGGAAACAAGAGTTTCCAGAAGCACCTTTTTATATCATTTTTTGGTTTTGAGTTATGAGAATTTATTATCTGTTAATCAATAGTTCCTGATGTGGCATTGTAGGATAAGCACTTGATCATAAGGTTGGTTTGAACTGCAAGATCAGGGTTCAAACTGACCAGCCACTCCTCCAAAAGCCTATACAGGGTTGCTATACACTTAGCAACAACAGCAATCAATACTACCTACATGCACACACATCTGCTTGTGTGTGCATGTGGGTGCTGTCTATTAAGTGCAATATATATGGATATCAGAACTTCAGTCTCATGCCTAGTTGAATCTTTCTCACCTTCCTTGAGCTTGGGTGTGTCCCAGGTTGGGGCAGCTTCAGAGAGAAAGAGGCATGATGGATGTGAGAGTCCGACTCCTTATTCATTCCACTGGCTGCTCCTCATTATTCCAGCAATGTGGTGGGGAGCAGACAGGAAGGTCTTACTATAGGGACAGAAGGTCTTACTAGATGGATGTGGTCTCACTTTCATCTGTATGGCAAATGCCCAAATGCTGGACTTTGTGGGTTTGGGGAAGCTTTTGCAGATCTATAAGAGACAATTTGCTATAGCAATAGGGGACCTCCAATATTCCAGGTGTGGCACTGTGGGTTAATGCACTGGGCTGCAAAGTCGGTTTGAACCACAAGGTCAGCGGTTCAAGCTCACCAGTCATTCCTTAGAAACTCCTATGACTCGACAGCACTTAACAACAACATTCTGATGGAGGCCTAGCATGTCACTGTAAGATAAGCACTAGACTGCTAAACACAAGGTTGGGGCAGTTCATTCCTCGTAAACACTATACATGGTTGCTATGGGTCAGAACCAATTCAACATCACTTAACAACAACAACATTCTGGTTGAATTATTATAATTTTTACCCTGACTCTTTCATCAACAATCACTACAAGTGGCTTCTTTTTAAGTCTCTGGAGGTAGCATCTTGGCAGAGTCCTTCAAAACACTTCAATTCTGTCTGACTTACGACTTTGAAAAACGTAACACCTTTTCATGCCAAACTCAGCAAGTGCCTCTCACTCTAAATATTCTCTCTTCTCTCTGAATTTACAGGTAGTTCGAATCAACCTTTATCTTTTTTTCTGGGAGTGTCAGACAACAGTCTAAGTACTCCCATAATTCCAAGAGATAATTCCCGGTGTCAAGTGACAAGACCTGTCACGCCATGCTTTGCTGAGTCCTCTGTTAGCAACAGCATTTACAGAGTTCCTGTTTGTGATCTGAGGTTCCACTAGAAAGAAAAGGAAATGCACACTTCTCTCTCTAGGCTAGGGTTTCTTAACTTTCACAGTATTGATTTCTAAGACCAGGCATTGTAGGATGTTTAGCAGCACCTCTGGCTACTTACTACATGCCAGTAGTACATGTCACAGTTGTAGAAACCAAAAATAGTTATTGCCAAGTGTCTACTGGAGGGCAAATTGCCTGGTGGAGAGACACAACATAACTCAGCTAAACTTTTCCAAATGAATTCTCATTTCCTGTCTCCTTTACCACTCTGCTAATTGTATTTACAGACTAGATTTGGATGATGGTTGTCAATAAGGGTTTCCATCTAGCAAGCTCTCTATGTTGTTGTTGTTAAGTGCCATTGAGTCAGGTTCTGACTCATAGCTACCCTGTATAGCATTTCCAAGGAGCAGATGGTGACTTTGAACCACCACCCTTGTGGTTCAAACCAACTTTGCAGTCCAGCTCATTAACCCATAGCACCACCACACCTGGATCTCAAACCTGTCAGGAGCGTGTGTAGACATGTAACACCCATTTTCTCAGTTGGAACACTGACATCTGAAAAAACAGGAAAAATTCTTACTTCAGAGAAAAATTATTATAAGCCTACATCTCTATCTTAAAAAAAAAAAATTAATCTGTGTTTAAGAACAATAAGGATGAGGGGGAGAAAGACTTTTACATTTTTATGTTTTGTGACTTTATTGCTAGATTTTTGTTTTATATGTGCTGCAAAGTCACTTTGAACTGCAAGGTTGGAAGTTCAAGCTCACCAGCTGCTCCTTGAAAACCTTATACAGGGTTGCTATGGGTCGGAATTGACTCAACAGCACTTAATAATAACAATAACAATTTAACATTTTGATTAAAATGTATATGTATTTCAAAGAATCATAGTTTAGTAATGAATGAAGAAGAATCTTTTAAAGTTTAATAGGATCTTGATTTTGTGTTTTTGATGACATAAGCTAAACTTGTGTATTAGAATAAGGAGGAAAAAGGCAAGGGCAAAGAAATGAGATGAGAGTTAAATTTTACCTTGTTTCATCGATATAAACTGCTTCCAACACAGAGGCTGCATATTCAATATTCTTCTTTAAGTGTGCAACATTAACATCACCTTTTTCCAGCTGCTTCACTAGGCATCTTAGTCTATTTCAAAAAAGTAGATGAAGAAAGAAACAAGAATAGAAAGAGATTTAACTGAAGTATACGGAAAATATTCCAATATAAATGCATAAGTTAAATAAACATTTAAATATGCATATGTCTAAGACTTTGAATAGAATTTTTTGATATAGTTAAGATCAATCTTTATCAATTAGGCAACTGTTATAAATTATATTCCCCTCTCAACAATATGAGGGGTATATGAGTTGCTAGTTTATATTCTATATATTTCAAGGGCAATTTTTCTGAAAATTCAAAACAGTATGAAGATTTTCATTAAAATATATATCTAGAATGTAAAGCTAATGTTCTCCCATGTAAACTATCACATAATTCACAATAAAACATTAAAAAATACATACAGATAGATAGATAGATAGATCTATCACTAGAACTTTTTATTGGTCATTTGGCTTTTTCATAGTTGGTAGAGTGCAAATATTTAAAAGATATTCCTCTGAATGCTGCTATGCAACTGTTCACTGAAAATAGCAATAAAAACAAAAACTTAAGGCAGTAGTCACAAGAAAATATAGACCAGAAAAAGAGATGCATATGTGCTTATTGTTTTCACTGCAATATTTTTTCATTTCAGAAAACACTGTAAAAAAGATACATATATAAGGGTAAAGCAAAAAGTATGGCTACTAAGATTCCAATTTATACAAGAATGGATTTATTTCAAACAAAATGTTTAAACATGTCTCTAAAATCAGTGGATAGTTGCTGACAAGTTCTCTCAGTATATATATGTCTTAGTCTCATTATGGTGACTGAAAAAAAAATAAAGTTTCAATCAGTGACTTCCAAGGGGATCTCCTAGTCCAGTTATATTCAAGGAAAGGAGGTCCACTCAGAAGGTCATGAAAACTTTTGGAGGGGAATCCCAAAAGGGTAATCTTGGTAGATTGTCTTGAAGGACACAGAACAGTCATGAGAGCATATCAGAAAGAGGCTTTAAAAACGGGAAACTGTTAGAAAAGGCCGGGAAAGAGCACCGAGGAAATTTTTACCGTCATGGTAGTAGTGTACCTGTACAATTTTCTAGGGTAGCAAAGGCCTACAAAAATTTCTTGGGAAACCTTACCCCACCCAATCCTACAGCACCATCCTGGCCCTTTAGACTTCTTTTTTTTTGTTCCTCAAACTTAAAGAACATTAAAAAAACAAACAAAAAAAACACACCTTCATATGTTTTGTTTTAGTTTTAGTTATAGGATTATGTGTTCCAATCCTTTGAGGAATTTCGAAGCAGAGGATTTAGCTAAGTCATACTTGGATTCCTGACTCACAGAAATTGTGATATAACTGTTACTCTTTTAAGCCACTAAGTTTTGGGATGACCGATATCTAATATAGAGAAAAAATGTAAATTACCTTAGTGAGTATGTTAACACTTCTAGAAACTACTATGCATTACATTCTAAACAGAAAGTTTCTGAAGATACTTCTCCAAACTAGGAAGAATAGACGCACACGCTCTTTGTTTTTGTATATTATAGATAAACAAATGAAAACAACTTATCTGTTTTCATATCAGATAGAAAGTTGATCAGATAGTTTCATTATCAGAGTTTTATTCCATTTCTGAGCAAAGATATTAAAAAACAATAAACCACATCTACCTTAAGTACTATTTTAGGGGTGACTTAGCAGATTTTTTTACAACTGTCTTTAGCTATTTCCAATATTGAAGTTTAAGGTACAATGATAAATTACAAATTTCAGCAAGGACATCTGATGTTCTTCTATTCATACAAAGACTATATTTCTTGGGGGGAAACACACACACTTAGATTAAAACTTCTTATTAAGGAATTCATAAGCAATTGCTTTTTGTACCATTTATTTTATATGACAAAATATTAGTAGGCAATACCCTAACACAGTATAAATTTCAAATAAATTAGTACAAAGCAAAGCAAAATGACAGCTAAAACACTTAGGGAAAAATAAGGTTGGTTTTGAGGCTTGTGTTCAATGTGAAGACAATAGAGAAACGTGTATAGTATTTTCATATTTTCTTTTTTTTTTTAGTTTATGATCTAAGAACATCAGTCTTAGTGAAATTATCTTTTATGCATAAAAGCAAAAGAAAGAGTCTAAATAATGACAAAATATACCACTCATGTATAAATTACAATTGTAACTTGATTTTACTTGGTTCCATAAAATATTATGATTTTTTTATGCCTTAAGATGTTACCTCCCCTTCTTCCTGAACACCTGAATTCTTATTTTTATTTGTGTTAGTAATTTTTCCTGCAAAAACACTATATTTTACAAGCTCCCTTGAAGCTAGGTATTGTCACATGACCAAGTTCTGACCAATGAGATGTAAGTGGTGATTGTTAAGTAAGACTTGGAGAGAAAAAAATGTCTGAAGAAGGCTAATTCAACTGGAAACAGTCCTCTATTATTCCTTGTCCATTCCTTATTTCCTAAAATGCAGTGAAAATATCTGAAGTTCAGCAGGCATCTAGGGTCAAGAACTAAGATTCTAGAGAAGAAATAAGGAAGTAGCCCGGACTCCATGCTGTGATATCACCTTAAGAAAATTGCCTACAGCTCTGAACTTGCTTCACAAAAGAGGACAAACACTATTGTATTTAAACTACTGTTTGTTTGAAATGTCTTTTATATGCAACCTAACCTAATCTTAACTGTTAAATAAAATGAATAAGAACTGAATCGAAAGCAAGAACTCATGAATGAAGAGATCTTCATATAAAATCGCAAAAGGACTTCTGTACTATTCACAGGCACACTTTCTAATTCACAACAGCATGCCATTTTTCCCAAGGGAATCATCTTGACACATTTCACCTGATTCAGCTTGTGTTGTCAATGAAGCTCCAATACAGGCTGCTCTCAGAATCTATCCCTAATTGTGTCTTTAAATCCAATGTGTAGTTAAGTTGAAAAAGGTGTATACAGTTCTTATTTAGCCTTTCTTTGGCACAAGGAAAAGAAGCTCTGGTAGTACAATGGGTTTTACAATGGGTGGCTAACTGCAAGTTCAGAGGTTCAAATCTACCAGCCATCTGTGGGAGAAAAATGAGATTGTCTGCTCCCTTAAGATTTACAGGTTCAGAAACCCTAATGAACAGTTATACCTCATCCTATGGGATCACAAGGAGTTGGAATCAACTTGATAGCTGTGAGTTTGGTTTTCATTTAAGTACAAGACAAGACTCAAAGTCTTTTCAATAATTTAAAAAATGCACATAGCAGCAAGTGAAGGTGGTTATGCTGAAGACTTTGGTTGACTAGTAGTTGTTTCAATAATTTCAGAAAACACATTTGCACACCATTAAAGTAGGAGTGCCCATGTAAGTTGCAGGCTTCTAACTGGAGAATTTTATACACAAAAATTCTAATAAAATATGATTATAATTTGGTCAATCATAACTTTCTGCTTTTCTCACTTGGCTTTCCCCACTTCCTAGACTTACTTTATCAATTCAAAATATTGAAAATAAATATCTATTTTTGGATTGTTAGAACCTTTTTCTCTTTTGCCTGCATTTACCAAAAACAATTTTTAATGGACACACATTACATTTCACACAAAGTGAAAAATCTTTGTACTTTAAAAAGGTTATTTATAACCAGAACCACAGGCTAATGGAATAATTTTATATGCTTCTTGTTCTAATTTTGATTATGCTTTTGTATACCTCCTAAGCATACATTAATCCCAACTCTTATTTAGTCGATTATTTGACTTTCTTCATAAACAATACAAGCCTAGACATCTTCATTAATAATTTACAAATAATCATACATTCCACAGGTGTGGGTTCTAAAGCAATAAGGTTTGCTGAATCTCATATATCTATACTAACTTTTTTATTTTTTTAAGAAGGTATTTCTTTTAAGAAGATACTTTATTCAATTTATGAAAAAAATTATTTTATTTTTTAAGAAAATAACTATATAATATTTGCCTAAATCCTAAGCCACCCTATGAGTAAATTCTCAAAGCTGAAGAATAAATCACAAAGTTGTGCACATGAAACAAACATGCTCCCTTAATTTAATAAAAACTCATTAGTAATGACTTGGTTTCTTTCGTCAAAGTGGGCAAGCTGAGTGGAAAACAGTGCTCTTACGTATGTTCTTCTGATTCCCAAAACTTAAGTGCATGTCCTTGATGTTCCATCCTGAGTCATTTCTGGCCCACTAATCTGAGCTCTGGTAGCGTAGTGGTTACGAATCGGGCTGCGAACCTTAAGGTCAGCGGTTCGAAACTACCAGCCGCTCCGCGGGAGAAAGATGAGGCTTTCTACTCCCGTAAAGATTTACACCCTCGGAAACCCTGTACAGGGTCGCTATGGGTCGGAACCGACTCGACGGCACTTAACAACAACAACAACAATCTGTAGCTGGAGCCCTGGCATGGTGCTGCCGGTTAGTGTTTATCCTATAGTGCCACACAAGGACTCCAGATAGAGATGTTGACATTGACAAAAATATATGAGGGTACTTCAAAAAGTTCAAAAGTGGAATAAAAGATAACAGAATTTGTCACACACATACACACACACACACACATATATATATTGTTGATATTAAGTGCCACGGAGTCAGTTCAGCTAATAGTAGTGGCCTGCATACAGTTTCTGAGGAGCCACTTGTGGATTTGAATCACCAACCTTGCAGTTAGCAGTCCAGTACTAATCCTGCAATGCCAGGCCAGGATTCCATGCACACAGACACACACACACACATACACACAAGGATGAGTCAAAAATTATCTGCAATCTTGATTATGTTAAAATATCCATCCATGTCCACAGCTAGTGACAACACTGAGTGTGCATGTGAAATAATTCTGTTGAAGAGATGAGTGGCAGTGGATTATGAGGCAAACCAGCCAAGGCTCTGCCTATGA